CTAAATTAGGGACAGCTAGCGCAGATAGCTCTCGTGTAGCTTTGCGCGAAATTCAAAAACAAACAAGAGTATTAAAAGATTTTGAATTTTAAAATGAAGTAGGAATCCTGCTACAAAAAGTACTGAAACAAGAATCAAAACCACAGTCAGCTTTATACACTTATCTGTAGGCCAAAGTAAGGATTACATTTTGTAAATTTGTGATTGTGGTTTTAATTTTTCTTTCATTAGTTTTTGTAGTAGGATCTCTACTTCATTTTAAAATTCATAATTTTTTGATACTCTTGTACTATACACAAGGGCTGTTCTCAGTTCATACACGAAGTTTCCTCATGATCTGCACCAATGTTTGCAGTTCCCTAGTTCGTCTCTCATCGTATAGGGCATCTGATAGGGCTTCACCTTGACTTGATTTTGTGTTGCACAAGGTCTGTTATACCTGGTCCATCTGTGAAGACGTCTATGTACCATCGTTCCTGTAGGTCTTTCTTCTGCTTGCCAATCAATTCTTCACTTATGTTGATGTCCTTGTATATCTTATCTCCACCAAGTGGTCTTATGTCTAGTAAATATTCATCTTCTAAAACTGGTGTTTCTAGAAGAATAATGACTGTTCCTGGCGACTCTAGTCTTTTCTAGGCACCCTCTATTTTAGTATATAAGCCCGGCAAATAAAGCGGAGAAATAATTGCGGATAGAGAGATATAGAGACAGATAATTGAGTCAAGTGAGCGGTAGTGACAGTAAGTAATGTCCGTGGAAATTCTGTGTATTGCAAAGTTGTATTGAGAAAGAATAAACTAGTTTTATTTAAGAAAGGACTTGTATCACTGAAGTTCCTCGAGAAGAATGTATACCGGAAATTAACAAACGACCAGAGACGTAATACTATTGCCTCGCTCAGCTAGTTTAAGCTTCCCAAAGTGATTTGTGGCCGGTTTGCGTTAACAGTAGCTTTTCGAGCGTGGGAAATTTTGGATGTCTGTATGGTAATAATATTGTTGCGTCATCGAGTCACATGACTACTGTGACGCAACGTTTCTAGAAC